TCCCAAAAGTGTAACGTATGAATCTAATACCAAAGTCGCTGGTCAAAAAGTTAAAGAACATCAGAGGCAATGCAGTATCCCGTGTAATACGTTTTAGTTGGTGTTAAAAATACTTAATTGTTTTTTTCTTCTCCACTGACTTGTCAGAAGTCTGCTCTTGTTACTTTATTTAATCTGCATAAGGCTGGAACAATAAACAGAAATGAGAAAACTGGAAGTGTTTGACTGTGTAGTTCAACGTGGTTTTCATCCATCCAAAATCTTGAAGAAATACTGCACCTGGAAAAGGAATTTAAGGGACATTTATAGTAACATCTGATGAATTAACACTGTCTGACACCTCAAATGTCTCTGCACAAGCCCTTTCTTTGCTACTGTTCCAGTCAGGGGAAAATGGCAGCTCAGTCAGTCATAGGCTAATGTTCAACAAGGAGGCGTTTGTCCAGACTACAGATCAGGAGTTTTCCTGAACAATGACGCACGATGGGTCAGGCCCACTCCCTGCAAAACAATGGGTTTTGTTTCAAATTCCTCTGCCATTCTTGCTTTTCTAAAACCAGTGTGATCTGAGGCTGCCCCGGCCCACAGAGCGCAATCATGAGACTGGACATGGCCTTGGAGTCCAGGAAGGTTTTGTTCTCGCTAAATGTGAGGTACTTATTTATGCAGGGGCTCAGGGTTTCTTCATCGTATCTATCTGAAAAGAATGAGAGGAGCTGTGCAGCTAACGCATGGGTGTAGTTTCAGTGTATGGAGTGCACAACATGCGCATGTGCCACCCACCTCCAGAACACCGTCTTCGGGGAGGTCTGTGCAGTGGACGGCGTTTTTCACTTTGTCTTTGCCGTACAGGGCGCGCAGCGTGGTTGGACGAAGGTGCCGTGCAATTTCCTGTCGGATGGAAACATCTGGATTATCACGTGTTCACTGTTCATTAGCGTTGCACTTCAACATTAAATTAAGTGAATTCGGCGCTGTGACGCCGTCTCTATCCTGGTGTCAGTCTGTGGACAGTTGTGAAAGTCAACATCCTGTACCGGCAGAGTGATTACTCAGCGGCCAAACATGTGATCCTGTGGAGGAAGTGACAAAACATCGACACTCAGCAAACTTTCCACTGACTTAGGGGGTGGGGGCCTCGCTTTTCAAGCACATTTTCACCACAGATTTTCAAAAATGACTTCACTTTTTGCTCGTCTTTTCCTGAGACCAACAGGCAAAGCAAACTAACCTTCATTAAATAAATACATAAACCCTCCCTGAATATGTAACACACTAAATCCTGAGTATTGTACAACGAATGGCTGTTTAAACCTTTCAAACCTTTTCCAATATTTTTGTTGTTTCTTTTTTTAATTTCATTTTCATGATGGGTAACTTGTTGACTTGTAGTTTTACAATCACATTTGGAACCTTAGACTTTTGTTTGTAGCTGGGGGGTCCAGTTTAAGAAATGGTTTAGATTTTCAATAATATACAAAAAGGGCAACAAAAAAATAAAAAATAAACCAGACACTCGGTTAGTAGAAGATCCAGACAGCTAGCAGTGATTTAAATGTGACCGAGCGTTTGCTGTTACGAACTGGCTTGATTCATCAGTTTCTTCTACTGGCTTAATTATATGAAGACTTTATAATAAATATTTTTATACCTCATATCTATTACATGTTTAACTTACCATCTACATTTTAAAATTTGATATGAAACCATCCTTGAAGTTTAAATTTTGAGTTTTTAATCTTTAATTTTAAGCTGTTTTGTTTCCATTGAGGTTTTTTGTATTTATATAGAAAGCATTTTGTGACCCTGTTTTACAAATTTGACTTTACGACTAAAACCAATCCCTTTTCCTTTATTTATAGTTAAGTATAAAATTAATTTTTTTTCATTTTAATTTCTTACGGGCTACAAATCAAGTCTTTTTATTCAACACTTTTGTCCGACTGCTATAAAACAGTAGCCACCTTCTTCCATGCAGCACATTTATCTTCAGAGTCTATTTCTGACACTACTAAGGTCAGAGCTGGCCTGTCTCATCCTCTTGAGTTTCCAGGAAATGAAACCCTCCCAACAATGTCTGCCATCAGGAGAGGGGTGTCGGATGAATAGTTCATTTACCAAAATGCCTGTTTAATCTAAAGCAAATCTTACGCAACGTGAAGTAATATTTGATATGCTGGGAAAAGCAAAAAATATGATGGTGTTAACACAGCAAGGGTTGTGTGGTCTTTGTGTTCGGCAGCAGGGAAACATTTCTGACTTGTTTATCCTTCGGTGGATTATGAGCCTGCAGACAAAAGGCAGGAACCAGTTTGAAGGTCACAAATCACCCAAGGCTTCCTCTCAAAGAGATGCATTGTCTTTCGAAAAAACCAGTTGGAAACCTATCTGCTGTTCGAACAATTGCACTACACAACACGTAAAAGACTACAAAGGAAAATAAAGACTACAGGCTCAAGGACTCGTAGCTAAAGATCAGCTGGGAACTTTGTGTCAACTGAGTTTTTTTTAAAGCTCCCTTTTAAGGTTAGACATTTGATTAGGACGTCAGTAATGGCGGCTTTCCACCAGGCTGCCATAAAAATTACACTTACAGCTTAAAAACTAACCACCAACTAACGCCCATTACATCAAAAAAGGAACTGTCGCAAAAGACTACCAGAAGCATGGTGAATTTCTTTCACCTCGGACTTCTTGAAACAAAGTCAGGGATGGCAGTTCATGCTAAAGACAATGAAGATGACTTTACTGAGTGTGCAAACAACGCTGAAATTTGGTTGAAAAGTGAGGTCAAAAGTTGTCATTATTTCAGGCCATACAGAAGAAGATATCCCTCACTCTCAGAACACTAAGTTTGGTTGAATTCAAGTCGTAGACAAAAGGGGGACATCTTTTCAAAGGCTGTGATTGGCTGATTAAGCTCAGAAAACACCCATGGATGTCCAGCGTTCAACTCCAATTTTACAATCTACCAGTTTCTGATCAAGCACATGTTAGCATGCTAACAAGGAAGCAGACTTCCCTCGTCCTGGAGTGAGGGTTGTGGATCCCTGGAATAAGGCCTGTGGTTATGGTGAATCCTACACTTTTTCTACAACATAAAATACAACAGTAAAAACACCTTCAACATTCGGCATCATCATGCTAAATACAAGCGGTTAACGGTGCATTAAAGTCGCGCACCTGCGGTACAGCTTATTTACAGCCTAACATTAACTTCTAAGTTCTTGCAACTGCGTTTATGGTTCAAATGAATTATACAACTGGAAATTTTTGTGGAGATTCTCATCACCTCTGGAAGACAGCAGAAACATCAACAGGTCTCCTAATATGGCTGTTTGCTGAGTGTGTGTGCTGCTGGTGGGAAACAAGAGTATAACATCCTGTGCAGATCTGCAGCTGGTTTATGTGTCCCGTGCCACATGAGACTAAAGCCAGCGATGGCAAAGGGGAAGTCAGGGGAAGATTTACTTAGCAATAAAAGAATTCTTTGCAAAACACTGCTCTCTGTAATTGCATTATCTACCCATGAGTGGCCTGCTGTCAGTGTTTAATTTGATTTTAATGAGTCCCATAGTGTACCAGACTGATGCTCACATAACAACTGCTAACTCTGGTGGCCAGCGAAGACTGGGGCAGAGGGACCTAGTGGTCACATGAACATCCAGATATGCCTGATCCTTAACGCCCTGCCGACTGTCCCACCCTGCTGAGAAGAGCAAGACATTGAACCGATACTTGAGTACACCCACTGTACTGCACTCTTTGAGCCTAAAGTTACAAATACTACAAAAAGTGAAGTGCTTAGATTGAGAGTTTTCTATCACCATTATTGAAGTTTTAGAAAATATTTTTTTTAATTAGACAAAACATTAAATACAGCCTCTAAAAAATGTAAGAAGAAAGAAATTTCAATAAGGCAGAAATTACTCAGACAGAAAAAATTAAAAGGGAAATAAAACAGCTCAGTGAGAGAAAGTACAAACAAAAACAGTGTAAAAATCTGAAGTTACAATAAAAAGGCTCTACAAAAAAAAAATAAAACTGAACAAAACATTGCAGGTTTGAAATTAAACCACGGAGATGAGGGAACAGATGATTGGCTGCTGTGTTATTTCTTTAAAAAAGGAAAAACTCAACTAAGCAGTGTGTCTTGTCTTCGACCTCTATCCTTGCAGCTCTTTCGCTGGAAACGATTTCTTGTTTATCTTTTTCCTCTTTTATTTTCATTCCATGGAACAGATAAAAGAGAAGCAGATCCTGAAGCTGCTGCCAAAATGAAATATGGGCTCGGACGTCTCAGTAAGCCAACTTTAAAAGGAACAACGAACGTGTCTGGTTACAGTTTCCATCGTTAGGGTTTTGGGTGCTCTAAACTGGACTAAATTTAGCACGGAGACCTCTACAGAGAAGCCGATACTTTTTTCCATTAAACCATTACGCCTCAAAAATCAATAGGAAAAGCATATTTTTCACCATTACAATGCAGGGCTGGTTTGATAGCCTTGTGTAACGGGACGTTTGGGTCTGTCGGATCATCTCTTACAGTAATATCTTTAGTTGGAACACAGTGGCCATCAATGCTGCTTATTGAAGGGCGGGGGAGCGTATAATCTAAGAAAGTTAAGCTGTATAGACGACCGTTGTGTCTGTCCACTCTGATAAGAGGAC